CCCTCTGAAACTTTCCTCATCTTTAAAACAGAGACTGGAAATTCTTTGGAGGGATGTTCTATATTCCCTGAGGGGGCTGAGACAGGAGGATTGCTGCAAGTTCAAGTCCAGCCTGGGCTACAAAGTTAGTTAAAGATCTGCCTGAACTGCATAGTTAGACCCTGTCTCAAAAAGACAAAAAAAATTAATTTGGGAATAGCTGTTAGAATTCATGTTTCAAATTTTCTTTTATACTCTTAGAAGTTTTGAGAAGTACAATGAGGGCTTAATTAGCTACATTCATGGGGAAAAGTTCAGGTAAAACAATAATTCACATTTGTAGTCTATTATAAATGTACATACAAATGAATGTATTTAATAGTCTGGTGATTTATATTAAAAAGTAAGGCTGCTTGAGATTCAACCAATTAAGAGTATCCAGTGGTGGCAAACCTATCACACACATACCACAGCAGGCTGTTTGTATCCTTGAAAGCTCTGAAAGATTTGCCATCACTGGTATAGACAAACCTTTCTAGTCTTCTGTTTTTCCTCTGTCAAAACTCGTGTCATGATGTAGATGAAAGGTTCCTTTTGCTCTTTGCATATAACACCAATGTGGTGGCTCTGTCTCAGTTTGTCCTGAGAAAGAGAATAGTTACATGTTAGGGACAGACCAGTGGCCATGGATATCATGCCCACCTTCTCTTCCTTAGCACTTTGCGGATAGTCATTTTGTGCAGTTGGGATCTGATGACTACTTTTAGCAGTGGAATGTAGCTGAAAGTGGGGTATGCTACTTCAATAACAATCCCCCAAACTTCAAGTTCTCCACGCTATCTTTCCTTGTGTTTAGCACTTAACCCCCCATGATCTGAAATGATCATGAGGAACAAAGACCCTCTTTCCCTTCAGCCTGCATTCATTGTTCACTATGAAGTGAAGAATTAATATAGTGACACAACAAAAAAGATCCTTCATAGTCTTGCATAGAGGAAAATTATGGGATATTTACAATCATAGCTACTATGCTTTGTTTAATGAACACTGAATACAAAATTATAGTAAATTTGAATCTACAGATAACCAACAAATAAATAGCATGTTTTAGACATTAATCTTCAATGAACAAAGAGATATTTATTATAAGAAGATCAATATCTAGAAATTATTATTATATGTTATACCAGCTAAATGAAATTAAGTATAAATTTGATTTAACAGAAACAATTAGACTACATAATCATCAAATTACTATCTGGTTTATTATCTGCATTTCATTCATTTATTAAATATTGCCTGAACACCTACTATGTGCATGGCTACAAAGGTATGCCACCAAGCCATACATGTCCATACTCTCATGGAATCTAACTTGTAGTGAGAAGAAATAGACTGTACACAATTATCACAAAAATGAGTTAAACATTACAGGTGATAAACTGCTATAAGAAAAAATGGAATAGAATAAATGGGATTAAAAGCATGAGGGTGTTGGGGAGGAAAAGATATATTTTATGGGAGCAGGTGGTCAGGAGAGGCTACACTGGTTAGAACTGGAAAAAGTAAGGGAGACAGGACAAAATATTTAAGGCAAGGGAAGCTGGGCGTACAAAGGCCCAAAGTATGAACATGTTTGATGTGTTCAAGGGAAGCAAGAGAATGTTGGTAGAAAATAACATTAAAGAGAGTCAGTGGCTGCCATAATATAAGAGCACAGATGAAGGGCTAAACAGTAGAAGTGCATTTCTCACGGCTCTGGAGGCTTGAAATCCAACATCAATCTGAAAGTAGGTTTGGTTCCTTCTGAGGCCCCTTAGCTTGCACATGGGTATCTTTTTATTGCTTCACAGTTATGATCCTTTGTTCTGTGTCATAATCTCCTTTCCTTGTAAGGATACCGGTCTATTGGCCAAGGGCTCTCTTTAACAAGTTCATTTTAAATTAATTATCTGAAGATCGTATCTCCAAATACACACACATTCTGAGGAAAGAGGGCATCTAGTTATGAATGGGCAGGGTAGGACAGGGGTGATACACAAGTTAGCCTACAACAGAGAGGTATTGTTTCTTAATGCTTATGAGTCTTTTAAAAATTGGGTTTTCATCCACTAAAGTAACTGGTGAGCCATCAGAAGCTTTAAACAGCTTATGACATACCTGACTTACGACTAATAAGCATAAAGGGAAATGTACATAAAGTATGCATAAAAGAAAGGAAGTATGCATAAAAGAAAGACAGAAACAGCCATGAGTCAGAAAACTATTGAACAGTCCAGGTAAGAGCTGAGACAGTTTGGGCTCACATATAAACTACTTAGTGATTAGCACATCAGAATCAGCTGCCAGGAAAACAATATCAGAGAGAGGGTTGGGGATGGGCATAACAATGTATTCATTTTCTAGATGGGAAAATTAGACACACAGCAAAAACCTTTCCAAGGATTCACAACCTCTTAAAGATGCAATACTCCTAGATCAGGGACCATTTCATTGTGATACTCATTTCAAATTCACCTTTGTTGGTGTAAATTTTATATTCAAGACTATCTGCACCCCCTAGATTCATTTCCTTCAAGTTTCAATTCAAAGGCACACTATTTCAACACTGGGGATTCAACCCAGAGCCTTTGCATTCAAGCTGAGTCCCCAGCATTTTAAAATTTTTCCTTTATTTTGAGACAAGGTTTAACGAAGTTGCTCAGGCTGAGCTTGAAATTGCAATTCTCCTGCCTCAGCCTCTCAGAGTGCTGGATTTATAGGCATGAAACACCACAACCAGCTAAAACAAACTTGTAGGAAAGCAGTCTCTGACCACACCATATAGTGCAGTAACCAACTCTCTCATCCTTTTTATTCCTATTTGTCTACCCTTTTCCTGCTATACTTTCTTCATTCTTCTGGTAGCTTATATAATTTCAGATTATATTCTTCTTGTCTGAATATCTTCTTTAGACTACTGTACAAGGTCAGTTTAATTTTCACTACATATATTGAAATAATAATTATGTATATATCTTTCTGTTTCATAGTATCTCTTTTGTGTAGCTGTTTTCTCTAGGAAAATACAGCTTTTAGGAGAAGGAATGCATTAAATTGGGGCTTTGGGAAGTGTGTTCTGACTTTCAAGTAACTTTTCATTGAAAATTTTAACACAGTTATTTAATAGCAGCTCTTCTTCTTTTGGAAATAACCTCTCTTCTTCCTGCCTCTCCTCATCACACAACTTTTTTTGAAAACTGCTGTCACCTTCCACGCAAATCCAATCATTTGGTCCAGGGTCATCAACCACAATCACACATTATCCTTATCCAGTAGCTCCTTGGTGAGGAGGGACAGGTTCACACTGGGCCAGTCAGTTTTTCTTAACTTTTTGTGTGCTTTCATTATTTTCGAAGCAGTAAGGATTGAAACCAGGACCTTGACACAGAGCAACATTTCCAGACCTTTTTCATTTTGAGACAGGGTCTCACTAAGTCATGAACTTTTCCAGTCTGGCCTTGAACTTGAGATCTTCCACCCTTAATCACTCAGAGTTCTGAGGTTATAGGCATGGGCCATCACATCTGGCTTCTTTCTAGTTTTTAAGTCTAGAGAAGAGACATGGCTCTTTTCCAGGGATCAAGCAGTGCTTGGAAGGAGATAGTCTGAATTAGAAAAGAGAATGAAGCACCTGAAGACAGAGGTATGAGAGGTCCTGGTAGGTTTCCATTCTCTGGCTTCAGTTAAATTCATTTCCAAAGTTTCCTCTTGCCAACCTGATTTTCTTTGCATTGTTCTTACTAGCAAACTCTTGATTTCATATTAATATAATACCTATAATGAATATCCTCCTGTGTTCTTAACTTTTCTTGCTAGTGCAATTTCAGCATTTCTTGTATCTAATAAGGATATTTGGAAAGACACAGAGAGTTGAAAATTTTTGTAACTGTTAACACTTCTAGAAAGTATTTCCGTCTCCCTCAGAACACCAGGAAACAGATGATCACCTGGGGAACAGGCCACCACACCTGCATGCTTCTGGTAAGGATCAGACACTTGTCGCCACGGCTTCTAGCACGTGTTTGAAAGTAGTGCCTAAAGAAGGGCTCAGTTGCTAGAGATATAACCTTTTTATGAATCTGACCTTTGAAACCAGCATAGTGGGCAATAACCATTAACAGATCAAATATGAGAGATGTCAGGTGTGGAGTAAGCCCTGACAGAAAATATTTCATCAGCCTAAGCCTTGAACAGTCACTAAGTGTGCGGGGAGGCCGTGCTGCAGGCGCCCTTCTCCCTTCCCCACAGTGATAAGGATGATGGGTTGCTTCTTTTAGCACTGCCCTCCTTAGCTAAATGTTCAACTAAAGGGAGATCAAATTGACTCAAGTGCACCATAATTCTAAGAAAATTACCATTGCGAAGTGACCTAGTCTTTTCATTATTGTTATAGAGAGGGAGTCCTCATAGAGAAATAAACTTAATATCTTTAACTACTCACTTCTCTATTTTTCTAGGCTATGTGTAGTATTGCATATGCTTGTAGCCAGAGGCATCTTCAGCCAAGTTTCCCAAATCTCTTTTTGCAATTGTTAAGTGTATCTCACAGCTTCAGGTTTAAGGTCACTGCAGAGCTGGTAACCAGAAAGCAGATAAAAATAGTTACTGAGTGGAAGGCACAGAGTGTCTATCCTAATATTTTTTCCTAGTCACATTTGACACACAAACACACTTACAAAGTGGTCAGTTAAGCAATTTTGTTATGAAGAGTAGTAAGTCTACTACTATAATTTCAAAACCGTGTCACTTATATTCTCATAGACCTTTGTATGAATACTGATATAGGCTCATTTCCTGACTCAGGGCTGGATCTGCTAAAGATCTGGTTGTTGCTACAATGAGAAATCCCATTAGGACACATTCATGAAAGTCTTTAAGAGGAACCTTGTTTCTGAACTGTGGGACAAAAATTGCAGGATATTGCTCTGACTGGCAATGATCCCTGAGCTCTTTTAGTAAACAATCCATCAGCTTCCACAGATCAGAGGGGAACATAAATTGCATGCATCATCTACCTCCCCATAAACACTAACAAGTAATAATAAGAAAAGTTGAAGTGCAGGTTTGTAACGACAGGGAAATAAGATGGATACTAAAAAGGAAGGGAACCATTGAGTTTTTCTCCTAACAGCTACTTCTGTCTGCCTTCTTACGAAGTTTTATTTCCTTTGCACTCTCGTACTTTCATCCTGATGACATGGCTATTATTTTATAGCAGTTTCAAGCAGTTAATTAATGAACTGCACACAAGTGACATGACACCACCTTGCCCAATTATCTCTAGCATCTATTTTTACAGTACAAAGCACTGCCGCTCTGTGAATTGTCTTGTTCTCAAATTGGCTCAGGAGGCAGTTACTTTAATAGCCAAAACAATGCAACAGTAGTGCCACACTGGTGACATGGAGTACTTGTAAATCACCATGTGAGATCTCATAAAGCTCACCATAAAAGCCTGGTGATATCATGTACTAAAAGTGCTCTTTTCTACTGAGTTAAGCAGCTATCACTCAATTTACCATGTAATCTCATGAGCCCCAGGCTCATTAGTTTATCTAGAATGGGATATGGTATGAGGGGGTCCTGACCACAAGGAACTGAAGAATCACTGAGAACTTTCCGTTCTTAAAAACTTGCCTTAGTGTGCTTTATAAAATGCAGAAACCTATACTTTCAGTTTGCTATCGCTTGTATTTGTTCAAGCTGCTTTCTCTTCACATTAATTTTGCTCTCTAAGCCATCTGTTTCCCCACCTTGTCACCAGAGAATTCATGGCCTTTTAACACTCAGACCCAGGATCTTTGGCTGCCGTATTTGCATGTCCCTGCAACTACACTGATTTTTCTTTCAGAGTTTGTCGCAGGAGTCTTTGTTTAATTAAAAAACAAGGCGAAAGTACTCTGTAGTAGGACATGCTTCAGACACTGCTCCTGAACCACCTAAATGGGACTCCAAGGGCTCAGAGAAGACACAAAGTTAACTTCTTTTATCTACCCAGAGCTTGTTGACCACATTTTTGTATAAACTGGGATAGTAAACTTTCCCCAAAAAGAAATCATGGTAACCTTGGAAAATCTGTTTTTTTTTTTTTCTTTTTTTTCCAAATTAGGATGAATATAGCTTCCTTGTTACCTTAAATGTAAAAATACTTTTTTGAGTAATAGCTCGCCTAAAAATTACAGCAGTGAGAGAAATTCAATCTATTTTTGTTTCAATTTTTTGCCTCATGTGATAAAATCAGAAATAGTGTTTCTGAGCTCCAATCTGTGTACTATCACAGATTGGTTCTCAGGTATGTGGTTCTCTCTGTTTTCAGTGATGACATGATTTGAAGGCCTGAAAAACTCTGGGGTTCATCTTGAGACCAAATGTTTCTCAGCCTGATTTTGTCTGTGGAACAAGCACCAGCCTTGTGTACCATATCTGCATGTATCTGAACCAGGCTGGGTCCAGAGAGCTTGATATATTCACAGAAAACAATTTTTATGATTAAAATTCATATTTTAATATAAAAAATTATTCCATGTATGAAACACTACCCATACCATATCCAGAAACAAAATGCTAGCTTTGAGTAAGTCAAGGTTAAATTTTACAATTAAATTTTTGCATAAGCAACATTCACCATGGTAACAATACACTTATATGACACAAATCATAAAAAGGCACAGGAATGTTTTTGTGTTCGATATGGTAATGGAATGACTTTCTCTCAGTAATAATATTATTATTATTATTAATTTTTTTTTTCTGGTACCAAGAATC